TTTCAATTAAAAAAAAAAAAAGAAAGGAGAACAAGGGAAAGGGGAGCCTAAGAAGGAACAATTCTAGTTTGTCACACGTGCGTGACTGTGCGTCACGGTCAGCTTCACACAAGTGGCTTCTCTTATCTCTGGATCCCTTCCTGTGTCCCGGCTTCCACAGGAAAAGCACTTTATAAGCACTGAAAGCTCCTTTAGTCCTCACAATAGTCCCAGCTGCATGATGTTCTCAGCACAAAGAGTATAAACCTTATCGATGCTGAGAGATAAGAGGCTTGGCCTCACAGAAGAGCAAGGACTCGAACCCAGATTATGGACTTGGTATGTCAAGTTCCACGATCTCAACACACTTTCCCTCCTCCCTAAGGGGGTCTTCTGAACCTCTGCCATGATGCCTTTCCACCTAGGGGACTCACTCCCTAGTCACCTTGTTCCAAGAGATGCTCTAGAAGGGATTTGAGAGAAGGACTGTCAGGTTCAATGGGGCCACCAATGTCTGGAGAGTAGAGGCCCCAGGGAACATGAAGGTCCAGACCTTAGCGTGTCTGGGTAAGTGCTGGGTACGCATCCCATGATCCTCAGGGAAGGCAGGCCCCTGCAAAGGGCTGTTTGGGACACACACAAGGCTGGAGTGACTTCCAGAAACTGCTGTCTGCTTTTTGTTGGTTTTGGGTGCAGAGTATTAAAGCTACATTAAATAAAGGCCATGGAATGACATTGATGAGAAAGGATTTCACAATTCCAGCCTCGGGGAGGAGGAATCAAAGCAGGCATAGAGTAATTCACTTGATAATTAGTTATTGATCGTGTACAAAGCTGACCAGACGGGGTCCAGTGAGGGACAGCCATTATGTCACCGAAATAAGCGTGTATCTTGTAAACTCCTCGTGTGGTGCCACTGTGCTCAGCTAAAAAGTTCACTCAGAAGCACCACGGAAGAAATGGCTGGCAATCTACTCCTGAAGACCCAGTAGCTAAAAACTACTAAAAAGTAGCTAAAAAAGGAGCATGATTCTGTTCTGACAAACACAAAGGATCGTCACGAGTCAGAACTCTTCAACAGCAACCAGGCTTTTTGATGAAGGGAAATCACAGAGTCCCGAGAAAGCAGACCAACTCTGGGACAGATGACTGACTGAGTGGTCAGGGAAGGCCTCCTGGAGGAGGCGCTCTGATGGTGTGATCTGTAGGGAGTTCCCCTGATGACTCCAAGGCTGTGTTCCTCTGATGGTTGAAACCAGGCAGTCTCCTTTCAGGTAACTCACAGCCTCTGAAAACCCTCTGGCAGGTAAGCTATGGGTCAGTCCTGATGGCAGTGAGAGTTAACCTCTTACAGTAAGAGCCCCGCACTAATGTAAGACCAATTTTATAATATCCTAAGAGGGAAATGATTTCCTCTTTATTTTCCTTATCAAACTAAAGCCCTTTTGTTGTTCTTTCTCATGTGTTCCTGTAATCTCTAGTCAAGAGTTAACTCCCCTTAAACCCTGACAGATGGACAGCTCCAGTCATCTCAGTGCACAGATAAGACAGATCAACTAGTCCAGGACATGACCACTGACCAGTATGCCTGGACAAGGGAATATGCTATGAAGATTCCTCACATTGGCTGTCCTGTACTACCCCAAATAACCCCACCATCTCCAAGCCAGGGAGACAGCTTTGGGAGGCTCATACCTCGAGCCTTCTCTACATACACACTGATACATAATAAGCTTCTTCTGCCCTGCCTTGTCTCCAGGATTTTTTGTCCCTTCCTGCAGCAATCGGCACACTTGAAGCTGTGCTGTAAAGAACTAAGTAGCAACAGATTGTGGTTATTGTTAAGTGTTGCCAAGTCATCTCCCAACTCAGAGATTCCAAGACAACCTGAAGCACCTACTGATGAAATTCCAGGCCATGAACCCATCAGGACAGAGTCCCCCCAACATAAAGGAAACAAAAATCCTGACAAGACACCGATGCACAACATCATGATAAACAGAGGAAAGACTGAAGTTGAATCATTTAACTTGGATCCACACTCAATCAATGCTCATGGAAGCAGTGGCTGAGAAATCAAATGATGCATTGCAATGGGAAAATCTGATATCAAGATCTCCTTAAAGGGCTAAAGAATGAAAAAGAATGTTTATGAACTTTGTAAGTAAACCAGATTAAATAATTTCTTTTTAAAAAAATAAAAGGGCTAATGAAAAATAATTATCAGTTTACAGACTAAGGTACACCTGTCCCAAGACATAGTATACTCCTTTCTTTCGTATGCATGTGAAAGCTGAACAGTGAAGATGGAAGATAGAAGAACTGGGTGATAGAGTTTGGAAATGGGTGGTAACGAGGACTGTACAACTTGGTTAAGATGGAATCTCTAAATCATACACGTGAAAAATAATGAAATGGTAAATGTTTTGTTATACATATAAAATACATATTTTTATCACAACCGGTCAAAAAGCCCTGCAAACCCAGTCCACAACTTCCCAGGCCCTACATTCCTTGAATCCCCATCTCCCTGGTCTTCAGGGTTCCCCTCGTACCCTGTGGGGAAGGATGCAGCACCATCCTGCTGGCCAGGGGCGTCCACGTGACAGACAGCAAAGTGCTGGGTGATCTCCTGCATGTCCTCAGAGTTGAAGAGGGGGTTGTAGCAGGTTTTGTCTAGACAAGGAGGAGAAAAGAAGACCAATTTCACTTACTGAGATCACAGACATTCCTTTTCTCGGTTCACATTCAGCAGGAGACAATGAACTTGGAGGAAAGAATGTGTGTGTCATTTCTGCCCTGGCCCATTTCCGTGGGAGAGAGAAGGGAAGAAGGAGCCATGTTTGGAGATGGTCATTCAGAGATGGTCTGCAGACACCAGCGCACACATGCTGAGTGGGCCTCGGACTCCTCATAGAGGGGGTCCTGTTATGGTTCCAGCTTCTTCTCAGTACTGGCCACGCTGGCCCTGGATCAAGGTGGGCTTTCTCTCTGCCTCTCATTTTGTCACCTATGCCCTTGCCTTTGAAAGACTGGCCTGGGCACTGGTCACGTGCAAACAGAGTGAAGCACAGAAGACAAAGGCTACAGAATCTCTTGAGAGGGACTCTTGAGAGGAGACAAATGCCTAGGAAAGAGCCCCCGGGGGCAAGCTGTTGGCATAACAGCTACCAATCAAAGGGAGGTGGTCAGGTCCACTCAGAGGTGCCTCAGAGGGAAACCTGGTGATTTAGTCAGAAATCTGCACCACTGAACACCCAGGGGGTCCACACATAAATGGGGTGCACACACAGATGGGGTGCGCACATGGACAGCACACACGTGGACAGGGCGCACACAGAGGCGGGCACACATGGACAGGGTGTACACACAGAGGGGGTGCACACACAGATGGGGTGCACACTCGGAGGGGTTGGGTGTACACACAGATGAGGCACACACGTGGACGGGGTGTACACAGAGGGGGCACACACACAGATGAGGCACACACAGATAGGGCATATGCACACAGGGTCAACGTGGAGTGGAGCTGGCTTAATGACAATGGTTAATGGCCTGAGGCCACTTCCGTCTTCCTCCAGCACAAGGCTGGATAATATTCCCCAGAATCTCTTGCAGTTAGATGTGGCCCTGTGAACATCAGACCAACAGCTTGTGACAGTCCATCTTTCCAAACAGGACACTCAATCCTCAAGGTCTTCCTTCTCTGTGGATATAGAGGAGACAGCAGGAACCTGTGGCACCAAGGAATTGGGGCCACAATGGAAGTGACTAGGTCACTCTGGGGGCTCCTTTGGTGTCCCGCTAAATAGTGTGCTAAAACCACAGAGGTCACTCATAACAAAAGTTAACTGACGATGCAGTCCCGTCACTGAGATGGGAGAGCAACACCGTCACCCACAGTTCTATTTCTTCACCAGAGCCCAACTAAGTAAGATGCAGAACAAAGTCCCTGACACCGGAACCAGTGCATCATGGATATTCATGGAGGAGACGTAAAGTTTAGGTCTATTGTTCACAGGGTTGCTATGTGTTATAATCAACTTGAGGATCCTTAACAACTTCAGTGACAACCCAACTTGCATAAAATAACAGTAAAAAATTCTTTTGATGAAAGAAAGAGAAATAAAGTGAGAGAAAGACAGAAGGAGAGCGAGAAAAAAGAAAGAGAAAGACAGAGGGAGAGAGAGAGAAAAGAAAGAGACAGAGGGAAAGAAAGAGAGACAGACAGACATACAGACAGACATTTGGAGAAAGGAGAAAAGTGCCAGTATCTCCAATCTCGAGGTATTAATAAACTGTAGAAGAAAAGAGTTAATCAGACAGTTCAAGGATCAAAAATCAAGGAGGCATCCAGCTCATAATCATGTTACGATGACTACCAACGTCACAAGGAAGGATTAGATTGCCAAAGAGCCAGCTCTATTCCACAAAACTTATCATTAAGAGGATGGTGACCCAGTGGTTAAGTGATTGGCTGTTAACTGGAAGGTCAGCAGTTCAAGTCCACCTTGATGTTCTGCAAGAGAACAATGTGGAAGCTGCTTTCATAGACTGATAGCCTTGGAGATTCTAAGGCCAGTTCGACCCTGTCCTGTAGTCACCATGAGTCAGAATTGGCTTGACCTAAGTTTGGGGTTTGGTGAAAACCAAACTCAACTCCCATGGGAAAAAAAAAAGGAATCTAGATATGGTTAAAACTTTCAGTTATCTTCCAGTTATTAAATGCTCACAGAGGTCCTATTCATTATAAACAAAGAGTGGAAGCAATGCAAATATCCATCAATGAAGAGATAAGCGGAGCATGGTTTCTGCACCACTGGAATATTACTTGGCAACAACAGAGGGCAGTTCTCACCATGTTACAATGCTCCTTGAACACATGACAACAGTAGTCACAAAGGGCCACCTGCTGCATGTATCTATCTTCTTACATGAAAGGTCCCGCTAGGCAAGCCCATAGAGATGGAAAGGACAGACCTGGCGGCCAGGGCCAGAGGGGCAGCAGGGGGAAGGCTGACAGCTAAATGGAGCAGGAGTTATCTGCGGAGTGATGCTATTCTAACGCTGATAGTGGAGATGGTTGCACAACTCCGAATATACTAAAAACCACTGTGTTATACACTTTAATGAAAACAACACAGAAAAAATCACTGTTATGGACAGATGGCAGAGGGTCCCCTGTGTTCCGGGAATGCCTGGGCACACAGACAGCTCCCAACCTCCCTGTTCCTTCTGGTCTGCAGCCAAAGTCCTTCCCAGAAAATCGGCTCCAGGAAGTCCCAGAAGGAGATGACCTCCTAGCACCCTCTCCTCCACCGTCCTCGGTGGAACCTGCTAGAACTTACGGTTCATGCCGATGTCGTGATAGGTGAGGATGACAGGCCGATTCCCCTTCGGGGTCCCACACAGTGTGACGTGAATGGATCCATGTAATGTCTCGATGTCCTGCTCCTGAGGAGAGATGGACAGACAGGGGCTTGTCAGGTACAGTCCCCAGCATCAGAGTGGCTGCTCTGTTTGGGAGAATTCTGACTGCAGGCTCATTTGACAATGACCTCCAGAAAACCAGAGATCATCAAATCATGATTCAAAGCATGTACTTCCTTTACCTGCCCCATGCCTCATCTGTCCCACAGACATCCAGATATTTGCTGGTTGAGGCGGGCTGGAATGCATCCCTACTCCAAGAACACCCCAATTTCCTATAGGGGTCCACCTCACTGTTCCCAAGTCAGTGAGCAGTTCACCTCCCCGGCTACAATGACTGGTTCCAAGAAAGGAACACGAGCTGGGGTATATGCCAATCAGAGTCAATGCTAGTTATTGGGAAGTAGATTATACACGTGAGCTAGTCAGATTGAGAGGGCTGGATCAGCAGCAGCCACGTTGTGAACATGAGGCAAGAGCCTGTTTGAAAAGACAACAAACCCCAAAACAGAGAAAAGAAGTCTCAATAAGGGCTTTCCCACCCAATTTGTGCCACTGTGAGCAAACCCACTTCAGACCAGAAGAATCCTGATGTCAATCATCCTCTCCCCTATTTCTTGGTCATAAGGCCACTGTTCCTGGTCAAAGCCAGTTCTTCAACCTGTGGCCTTAAGCTGGCCCAGCTGGCCTGGCATCCTAGACTCCTCTGCACTTGTCCTCTGACAGTGCTTGGGGACATGCATCTCCTTCCATGCTAAAAATAAGTCACCCTGCCTTGATTCCCAGTGAGGAGGAGCTGCGGGTGCTGTGGGTTAAGCTTTCAGCTGTTAGTGAAAGATCATTAGCTTGAACCAACAGCCACTTTGAGAACAATGATACAGACTGTTTCCAAAAGGATTTCAGCCTTGGAAACCTTACCGTTGTTGTTGTACAGATAATGCCCAATCATATGCTCCTTTTTAACAGTTCTTTCCTTCATCTGTTCCAATGCAGGGTTCACTATCTAACTGCTCTTACTCTCTTCTTCTGCCCACCCCCCCATCTCAGACCTCTTTATAACAGTGCTGCTATGAGGGGGGAGGGGAAAGGAGGTAACTGTGCAACAATAGAAGAATAGTTAAAAAAAATGAACTGGGGGACGGGGAGGGGAGAAAGAGCGCGTAAAATGTGCAACAATGAATGACTGAAAATCTAACTTTTCTGTAAACTTTGGTTAAAATCACGATTAAAATAAAAAATTTTATCAAACAAACAAAAGAATGCCTACAGAGGGTCTACTCTGCCCTGCAGGGTCCTTATGACTTGGAACTGACCCAACAGACATGAGCAGTACGTGGTTTAACCCAAGGACCTCAGCTCGCTTAGGGACCAGAGCTCACCTGCCAGTTTCTCACAGGGCAGTGATACCTATTCAAGCTGTCCCTTCCATCCACCTTCAGGGCCAAGCCCTCCACGGCTACTCCTCAAAACCACTAGAAGCTTCCACAAACCTGGGCTGCTCACTTGACTTGTGTTTTCCCCACATTTTGACAGCAGAGATCTCCACTCTGTGGAGGGCTCCCTTCCTGTGTCTCTAGGCGCTGAGTCCCCAGATCGCCTCCTGGGGCAGGTGTGGGACAGCCTGCTGGGGACCTGACATCTGTGACCAGCCCCCTAATGCTCCTTCCCTCATGAGAACCCCACAAAGGGCAGGTGACGCCGAGTCGGCCCACAGTGATGCTCAGGCCCAGGGAAGCCAAGTCGGTTCTGCAGGGTCCCAGAGCTCAGGTGGTGCAAAGAGTTAACATACTTGCTTGCTAACCAAAGGTAGGAGGTTTGAATCCACAGCAGCCAGAAAAAAGGCTGCTCTCTGGAAAATGAGTAATAGAAAGCCTTATGGAGGCTCAAACACCAGTTAGCACGAGGCGGGGGTGGCAGCTGTGCCCACCAGCCCATCCCCTTCCCTGTCTTCACACTGTGTACCTCTAAGGGTCAAACCACGTTCACACCTCAGAAGGCAACCTGAGGTTGGCAGGTGACATATCTTTTCCAAATGGTAAATGACATATCTGGGTGGAATACGGGATGTCCCAGACACGGATGAGCCAGCTGCTGGAAGCCGAAGTCCCAGCCTTGGTGGTCACCATGGCGTTTCATGGAGACTCGGCTCACAGTCTCCCCCGGAGGAGAGGGGCTCAACCGCTACTATCTACCCAGCAGTGCTGTGGGAGCAGGCAGGTCCCTCCTTGGCCCAGCTCTCACCCCCACCCTGGGTCCAGCCCAGGATCAGCCTCTGCTCAGGGACACTGGAGGACCCCACAGTTGGGACTGGGCCCAGTGAGTCCCTCATCTCGGCAGTGAGATGTGACAAGTATAGCACACGGTGCAGGGACAGAACCCACCTCGGCTACATCTTACCTATAAAACCCAGCTCTGGTCCACTTCATACAACAAACATTTACCAAAACCAAAGCACGACCATCGAGCTGAGTCTGACTCATATTGAGAGTGGGAAACCCCCCTGTTGGGTTTCGGAAGCTTTAAATCTTTACAGGAGGAGACCACCCATTGATCTCCCTAGGAGTAGGCAGCTGGTGGATTTGAACTGCCAACCTTTCAGTTAGCCCCAAAACACGACGCACTGGGCCACCAGAACTCTTTATCTATTAAGCACCTACTTCTAGAGTCCCCTCAGGAGCCCTGGTGGCACGGAGCTTTAAGGCTTGGCTGTTAACCAAAGCTTTGAACCCAGCAGCTGCTCCCAGGAGAAAGAGGAGGCATTCGGCTTCGGCAGAGACGTAACCCTGGGAACCCCCGAGGGGCTGCTCTGCTGCGTCCTGAGAAGCCGCTCAGCCGGAACTGACTGGACAGTGTCGGATTTAGTTGATTGGGGTTTCTTGTGGTACAAATGGTGATGTGCTTGGTTACTAAGCGAAAGGTTGGCAGTTTGAACCCACTCAGAGCTTCCTCAGAATGAAGACCCAGAGGGAGGAAGAGGAGCAATTGCAACAACATTGTAGATTTGGTAATCAGTGTTGCAAACAAAATGTGTATGAATGGTTGAGGGGAAAAGCAATTTGCTTTGAAAGCTTTCACTCAAATCTTAGTTGTTTTGTTTTTTTTAAAAAAAATCCCACTAGAACAGAAGGAGAGCCCATCAACAAAAGAATGGATAGAAAAGCTGTGGTATATTCACACGATGGTGGTCTGATAAGTCTGTCTTATCGTAAAACAAGGTTCCTGAAGATAAAGCTGGCCCCTGAGACAGAGTCTGAACCTGTCCTGAGACAGAGCCCACTCCTGTAGATGACAGTGCCCACTCCTGTAGATGACAGAGCCCACTCCTGTAGATGACAGAGCCCACTCCTGTAGATGACAGTGCCCACTCCTGTAGACAGAGCCCACTCCTGTAGATGACAGAGCCCACTCCTGTAGATGACAGTGCCCACTCCTGTAGATGACAGTGCCCACTTCTATGGACAAAGGAGGCATCTGAAGATAGAGCCCATGCCTATAAACAACAGAGTCCATTCCCGCAGACAGAGCCCACACCTGCCTCCCTGACCCCGTCTCTTCCCTTCAGTGGACACATCAAACACTGGAAAAACACCAGCCACAGAGCATGGCCCAGCCCCAGGTGCGGCCCAGCTCATCTGTGAGGGCCCAGCCCTGGCCTTGGGCCACAGCAGGAACAATGGTCCATTGTGGGCCTGACAGTCCCCATTGTCTCCTGTGACTTGCTGGCCCCATCTCCCCAGCTGGCCGCATGGCTCCTCTAAAAATAATGTCCACACTCCCCAGGCAGTGTTCCCTGTTGTCTTGGGGGTTCAGGGCCAACCTTGGCCCATGCCCAGTCCCTCTGAGCCTCTGGGGAGAGTGCCGCCTCCACTCTGGGGTCTTCAAGGAGATGAACACTTTGGAACACAGCCACATTACCAGGACACATCAGAGAGTGGGTGCCACCTTGGACATGTGACACTTGACAACCTCATGAAAAAACTACTGTCCACATTTTACAGAGAAAACTGAGGCCCAGAGAGGTTAAATAGCTTGCCTGTCGTCACACAGCTAGAATGGTAGGAAAAGATTTGAACTCAAGACAGAGTCCAACATCCATGCTCTTTATCGCTCTATTCCATGCTCTGTGTAGCCCCAAATCTTTCATAGGCAGGGCACCCTGCGTCCTCAAAGCCCTGAAGAGCACTGATGTTAATTTACAGACTAAGGTGCACTTGATTGAAGCTAAAATCTTTCCAATCCCTTGCTGTGCATCTGAGAGCCGGGCAATGAATTAGGATAACGAGAATCGATGCCTTTGAGCTGTGGTGTTAGACAAGAGTATTGGATATCCCATGGACAGACAAAAGAAAAACCAGGTATGTCTTGGAGAAAGTGCCATTGGAATGTTCCTTGGATGCATCATGGTGAAGCTTTGTCTCGTGTACTTTGGACATGTCGTTAGGAGAGGCTACTCCTTGGAGAGGGACACTATGCTTAGAAAAGTGAGAGGCCAGCGAAGGAAAGGAAGACTCACAACAAGATGGATTGATACAGTGACTGCAAACAACAGGCGTGAGTGTGCTAGAAATGACGAGGACGGCACATGATAGGCCAGCGTTCATATCTGTTCATAGGATCATCACAAGTTATACTTGACTTGATGTCACTTAACAGCAAATGTACCTGTGACCTTGGACAGCAGCCGAGCCTTCTCTCAGCCTCTCTGGGCAGGAGCAAACCCACTGGCCCCAGAAAGGAGCTCCCAAGACTGAAGCCACGGGGAAAGGTCCTAGCAGCGTTAGGCAAACTTCGGCGCTCCCATCCTAGTGGTCACTAAGGACAACGTTGCAGGGACAATTACTACAAAGGCACAGGGGCCAGCCCTGAGGGCTAATGGATGGCTGATGACCGGCCCTCTGGGGACCAGCTGCTGTCCTCCTCCATAATCCCCTCCTGTCTAGGAGGCTCTGGGGACACGCTAAACCCATTTGGCTCTAAGAGGATGACAGGAGGCTGCCGGCGCTCAGTCAGTGGCGGAGCCAGGC